GTCAACTTGGTTTCCATTATCACACGCAAAGAGGGAATCTCAACCTTGATTGGGAGTACAACTTCAATTCCATACACCAGGGAGAACGTGGTTTCTCCTGTTGAAGTGTAGACATATGTTCGATATCCATGCAAAGCAAAAGGGACCATTCCATGCCAATCCTTATAAGTAATAACCATCTTCTAGATGATCTTCTTGATATTCTTATAAGTAATAAACAATCCTTATAAGTAATAACCAACCTCTTGGTGGGTGAAGGATAACCATTACGGTTGATCGTTAGATGCATACTATCGCGCCGTGAAAAAACAAAGATTCACTACTGAACACTATTTATCCTGAAGGAAGGGAAGATATTGAGAGAACCCCAAAGAAATGGATAATATGGTCTCGCGACCAAGATAAATGTTATGGAAGTCGATTATGCAAGGGGAAGGTATTAGCACCCAAAGCGTCTATGGTACTCCACATGATCCACTTTAGATTTCTCTAATCTAAGGGTGTGTAAAAATCTATGTCTAAATCCCATCACTAAGAGGGAATGCACACAGAATAAAATACAGGGGAAAGAAGGATTATGTGATACGGTGGAAAAACCAGACTGTTTTAGGAAAATGCTGGTTTGCGTTTTGCGTTTTTTGTTTGCAAAATGTCGCGGTAAGCAAGAGTCGCCACCGACTTTTATTTTATCCAACTGGAAAGGAAAAAAGCACAGAAAAATTCCTTTTTTGAGATTTTGAGTACGGGGGGTAGATTATAGAAATGGAAGGTATTAGCACCCTTTCTATCTGTAGTTTTCTACGGGCTCATAGGTACTTGCTCATCATTTAAAAATTGCTTCCGTGTTTGTGTGTTTTGAAAAGTTTTTTTTACTTCGTTTTAACCCTTGTATCAGTCCTCAAGAGTGTTACGAAGTGTTTTTGAAAAATTTGTTTGAAAAGAGTGCAAGTGTGGAAAAGTTTGATTTTGAGCAAGTACCTACTAGTATCTACCTACTCGAAAAAAGATTGTTTCTGTTCTCGTTTCCTTTAGACATCGCTATCCTAATATTGAGAGTAGGTAGCACCGTCGTTGGAGTTGTAAGGGTCAATTTGAAAGGGACGTACGATCACTAAAGCAATTTTAGGACGTCTTAATAAAAACCCTAGTGTCTTAAGATCATATTCGAGGCAACATTTCCGAGGCAACCTTTCCGAGGCAACATTTCCGAACGGGACATTTGATCTTTGTTTAGACAAGAGAGCGACCACTAAAACACCCTATACTTAATGATCGTTTAACGAAGGCAACCGAAGTGAGAGTATACCCTAGGAGTGCGCATGTGCGAGTGATTTGATTTCAGTTATTATCTTTGCACATTTAGGGTTTGTTAACCATTTTAAAAATTAACATACATTCTTGTCATGCAATCCTATTATCATACATCTAACAGTTAATATTTGCGAAAATTAAAACGCGAGAAATAGAACTACGCTATTACAAGGCTTCGGGGAGGGGGATTAATTACATAGCCAAAAACCTGTAAAACGATAAATAAAAGAAAAATCCTAATTAAACTATTACATACCATGAGCAGTTACATTAATATCGTAGAAATAAATAAATGCGCGCAACGAATCGAGAACGAGAAAAAATTAGGGTTTTGACCCCGTCTAAACCTAATTAAAAGAAAAATTGTTTTTTTTTTGTTGTTTTTGATTATTTTTTGAGAAAAATCAGGTTTTAATTAAATAAATACAAACCTAGTTACTATTTAATTTAAATTAAGAAAAATAATTAATTTGACCTATTTTTGCATTTTGGTTATTTTAAGAAAAGAAAATAAAAATTAAATCAAACAAAACCCTAATTTTCTAATTTATTTTAAATTATTTACAAAAGGTTAAAATTATCCTAAAATTAAATTAGACTAATTACTAAATTAAATTTGATAAAAGTAAAACCTAAATCTAATTTGATGAAAATTGATTTTATGAGTTTTTGTAAAAAAAGAATTAATTTTTGTGTGAGAAAATAATTTAAACAAAAATAAATATATAAAAGAAAATATATAAAAGGAAAAAGAGAGAATTGGGCCTGTTGTTAGTGGCATGAAGGGGGTGTCAAAAGCAGTTCTGACTTCTCAGATCCCATGCATTGGCTTGACTAGGGTGCATTGTAGACATTTAGTGAATGACCCTTGGATCCAGCTTGTTGGAGATCTGATGGTTGAATACTGAGGGCGTATGGTGAATGTCCTAGAAGCTGGTACACCTGATCATGTAAAATAAAACAGCATTGAACAAATATGTGGGACCTGGGTATCTTACTCAGGCCCTTTGGAAATTTCCTTCACCCACTGACCAACTGAGCTAGCTTGTTCATTTGCATTTGGAATATTAAACAAATATTATATTAGGAAACGCAAATTGATATATCAAAATGCGCAAATTTTGAAATGGGCAAGTCAGGTCACGCCACGCCATCATCTTCTACCTCCTTCCGTTGCTAAAAGTTTAGAGACTTTTACCTACGGAAAAAAGGACATATGTATAACCCTATGATTCTCCAAAACTCTCTGCAAGCATGGTAAATGTGTAACAATGGTACAGGTCAGTTCGTCTTGACCTTGTGAACACCATGGTACCCCTCTTTTGGACCAATTTTACCTGCATTAGAAAACCCTAAAATGAGCAAGGAAAACCTAGCAATGGTGGATCTCAGTATGTGCATCAAAAACTCAATTGAGTATAACCAGAATATTGCAAATACATTAACAAACACATGTATGTCATTGAAACATGCTAATGCTGCGTAAATTGCAAGAATGGATTTTGAGTTTGAAGCGAAAACCGTGGGCCTGTAGTTGGAGTTTTTGGTCGTATGGATGCTTGCAAACGATCCTATCTGCTTCAGAGGAGGTCCAGGATACGAATAATGATCTTGGAATGGCTTGAATTTCCATCTAACTGCAAGAATGATTTCACACTTTTTAATGACTTTTTTGAATCTCGTTATGCTCTCTCACACCTCCAACCCTTATGCTTTTTCTTTGGATTTGTTCAATATATATCATAGAATCAATTAGGGTGAAAACTTGCATTAAATCTTGGCCATTTATGAAGATTTGATCATTGATTCACTCTTGCATCAAATCTTTCCAAAACAAGCAAATTCCAAAAAAAATTATGTCCAAACAAGCCTTGCACGATTTGATCTCATTGCTAGCTATTCATGGACCTAAAATATGCAAAAAATCTCAAGGTTTAAATGATTTTTGATATTTTCATTATTTATTATTAATTTTATTTCATTTAAATGAAATAAAATCAAGATAAGTGATAAAAATAAAAATAATGACAAGTGGAAGGGCTCATGGGTCGTGGACCATGCTACAAGTTTGGTGCAAGCATAAAAAGTTAGGCCCATTTAGCAAAAAAAATGCAATTTTAGGCATATTTGACTTTTGGCAATTTTGCAAAAATGGTCAACTTTGACAAGGCATATCTCTTTCAATTTTGACTCGATGAGGGTGTTCTTGGACTTTTTAGAAATCTTAGGATGTCCTCTAAGCAACCCTTTTGGTCTCATCTCCATTGAATCTTCCATGTTCATGTATGAAGCTTTGACAAAAAAGGTGTTTTTGTTAACTTTTCAAAATGGCCTATAGTGTCCAAATTTGTAACTTCTTGTCAGAGCATATTTTGAACTTGGGAGATGAAGATGGATTGTAGATAATTGCATACTCTTCACACTACAAGAAAATTAGTGTTTAACGACACTAAAATTGCGACAGTTATGTGATAACTGTCGTAATTGACATATAGAGACAGTGTTTACGACAGTTGACACCAACCGTCCCTAATATTTATTTTGCGACGGTATATTTAACCATCATAATATTATTATTACGACGGTAAAACAACCGTCGGCCCCCATTTAACACTTTTAACATTGATTTTTCACCAACAACTAGTCACGACGGTAAAATTAACCGTCCTAAAAGGCATATCACGACGGTAAAGCACCCGTCGCACCCTTAAACCTTTCACGACGGTAAAATTATCCGTCCTAAAATTCATTTCACGACGGTAAAACAACCGTCGCACCCAAAACCTTTAAAAATTCTCATGGGCACGACGGTAAAACACCTGTCGCGGTAAAACAATTTTTTTTTGAGATTTATATAGATTTGATTTTATATCCATCATTAACACATTCAAATATAACATGAAATTAAAATTTAGATTTACAAATTATGAACCCTAAAATATATTATCCAATGTCTAGTACTAAAAAAGATCTTAGAACTAAAAGAAATTAAAATATTGAAAATTTATGAGTTCATTATTCTTCACTTTTATTTCTTTTCGAGATTAAAAATATTCCACAAAAATGCATTTGCACAAAGTTGAATGAAAAAATGATTCTCATTATAATAGAAATGAATTAATTATAATGATTTATAGTGCAAACTCAAACCCGTTCTTCTTCACACCGAAAGAAACCCCTTGACACCGAAAGGAATCTCTTCAAATCGCTCATCTTCACACCAAAAAACGCACAGCAATGGAAACTACATCCTCTGCGTTCATCTCTTCAAACACAGTAAGTTTTATCTATCACTTTTTGCATTGTTCTCATCTCTCTCATTCTCTGCCATTGATTTCAGCATTGGAGATTCACTTGAATCTTATGGTTGAGCTCTTTGTGATGATTGATTTTGAGTTTGAATATATTGAATTGATGTTAGGTTTTCTAATTTGTTATTTTAGGGTTTTATTTCTTTTTATGATTTTTTAGGTTTTCTAATTTGTTGTTTTAGGCATAAAACTGATATAAGAGGACCATATACTGATCCAAATGGGATAGTAGTCGTTTTGCAATTGTAATAATAATATTGATATATCAGTCACTCCCCTTGTTAAGTTTCCTGGCTTTAGGACAGTATTTCGAAGGCACCAGGACCAGAATGAGGTTAAGAGGATTCCTAAAGAGGAGAAGTTTCCTGGTGTCGATACATGTCTGTGTCACTGCTTTATACCATACAAAAGACCCATAATGGGTCCAACCTTTCCTTTGACCCTGATATTGTGGAAGAAGGAGCTTTCTAGTCTGGGATATTATTTATTACTAGATTCAAAGTTTCAGAGTTATGCAGCATGTTAATGTAAGAAATGCGGCCTTCTATCAACCTGATGGCTCTTGAATCATCTTACTAATTGTTGTTACAGTTGTTTCTATGGAGGAATTGAGTTACAGTGAGCTTATTGTACAATTTCCATTGTCTAATCTATGCAAGTTTTTGTGAATTCTGAAATGAGAATGAGAGTTTTATCTTTTCCTAACCTCAGAAACATTTTGAAGAACTTGAAGCACCATAAGGATACAGATCTTCTGAAAGGACAAGCTGTGAAAAGTCAGAAGGTGTACTTTCTATTTCATTAATTGTAGCTGTCATGATTGCTATTTTATTATTTATTGGTTTCCATTTTGAATTTGTAATAATATAATCAAAATTTGTTTTGACTGAAGGCCCTCTGGTACAAAATTCTCGAGCTTAGATTCTTACTTCAGAAGCCATTCTCAAGTTCTAACAGGCTACCTGAGGTATTTTCCTACCCCGTTTTTGCGATTTCATGTGATTTGCTATTTTATCGTATCTAATGTCATAGCCAAATATGGTAATTTGTCTCCAGGAATCAGTAAAAGCTTCATTCTGTGAATCGGATGAGACAGTTAGAGTTGCATATGCAGATTTGATAACTTCGTCCAAGGAGACTTTGGATTCTATATTGGAACTGCAAGAGGTGTGTGCTGTGTTAAAACTTGAATGGAAAAAAATTGTTATGTTGTCATTAATATGTTCTATCTTCTCTAATTTTATCAGTCAATGCTTCTCACTATATGTAAAATATTCATTAATCGCAGCATTTTTTCTTGTTCCAGGCTCTGATTGCAAAGAATCCGTCAGTAACCCAAGCTGTTAATGGTGATTTCTTCATGTTCTTTTCCCATTCTCGTTTATTCTAGATTTTTCTTTCTTGTTAAACTTTGTGCTATTGACACCTTGTTATGTTTGATGATTGCGACATATCTTTGTAGTTATTATTGAGGGTCATGTATATATTATTCTCTGTAAGCAGTGGTATTACTAGTACCACAGTTGGTTCATGATATAGTTGTTTGAGGGAATTGAGAACTGGCCAAGTGTTCTTTATTTCTCTAGTTAATTGTAGCTCAAAATATGATAAACTCTATCTATTTTTCCTTTCTATTTTTTGACCGAGTTGGAAACATTGATTTGTGCTGGAGATGAGAGTTCTAATGTGTGACTTATAACTTCCAAAATAACCAACCAAATATTTGTTTCTTTTAAAAGGTTCAGAAAAGTCATCAAAAGAAGTTTCTAATGTTTTGGAAGACAATCTTGACCAAGAGTGGTCACAAATTTCTCGGATGCACAACAGGTATTTTCATAGCATTCTAAGTGCACAATTTTTGTGCTAATTTCTCGTGACATAACAGCATTGATATATAGTTTTGTTTCATAAACCCGATCTTCGTGTCTATTATGCTTAATACTTCTCCAAACAACAGCTTTTGAACTTAAGTTTAGCTGCATTTCTATCTTGAGCACGGGCTGTTCTTCTATTTGCAAGTCTGCTTGGCTGATGCTCTTCATGATTGTATCTTGCAGTATAGCATCTTTCAGAGACAAGTCTATCAACAAATGGCAGAGGATTACGCAAGTGACAACCGGTGTTGCTGCAATTAAAGGCAAACACGCTTTTAATCAGGTGAGGTTCTGTGACTGGAATGCGAATTCAAGTGTGACACCAAATATTTAACTTCTAATTTGTTGTCCATGTTGCAGGATATCAGCAATCAAGTTGCTGGCTATATGAGAGATCCTAGTAGAATGGTCAAGCAGATGCAACTGAGAAAATCAGCTGTTAACGTATTTGGATCCGTAAGTCGGTTTTATCTTTAGTTGGTTCTAAACAGTGAGAAACTGATTTATCTATCTTATTTTGTTGCCGAATCTTATTTTGTGAAGATGTATGCTCCAAGCAAGTTTGTTTTATCACGCAAACCCAATTTACACGCACTTTTCTGTTTAACAGGACATAAGGAACGGCTCGGGAAATCATCGTGCACTATCAAGCACCACACTGTTTCCACAAAGTATTCGAAATTCCACGCCCAAGAGTCAATATAATCGAGGTTCAAGTGCTCCACCAACATCTATCGAAGCGAACGGAAACATACTAAACAAAAATAATGGATCCCATTTTGACGTGGTAAACGGAATCAATAGAAATATGATAAAAGGAAGAGAGATAGATGAAAGACAATACTCAGCAAAACTGAGTGAAATTGACGTATACGAGAGCTCTCGTTACGACGCGCTGTTGCTTAAAGAAGATTTGAAGAATACAAACTGGCTTCATAGTGTGGATGATAAATTTGATCAAGGCTCCTTATTATTTGATAATGGATTCGAGAACCTGCCTGAGCCTTTTGGTCTCTTATAGTATGTGTATCTAAAGAGGTTCTGCTTGAAGCAATTGTAACATGTTATTTATGTTGTAATTCTTATCTCATTTTCTTTTTTAGAAAGATGGGATATTTCAAATTATAAAGCTCAAAGTGGAAAAGAAAGTAAAGATGCATTATATGTTTATATGTTTTCTGCAATTTGCAGAGAAATCAGTGGATTTAAATTCGATCTTATACATATACAAATAATGTAGAAAAATATTTCGTGATATAGGTCCAACTTTAAACAAAAGTCAAGACATAAACAAAAGTCATGGCGACAGTAGCGAACCGTCGTAATCAACAATTAAAAATAATCAACAAAAGTCATGACGGTATCGAACCGTCGCCATAAACAATTTAATCAATTTCAAAAGATATTCACGACAGTATCGAACCGTCGCCATCAATAATTAAAAGAAACTCAAAAGATAGTCACGACGGTATCAACCCGTCGTAAACTTGAACGACAGTTTTTGTAACCGTCGCGAAATAGGTTGGGGACACACACTTCTGCGACGGTAAAGCAACCGTCGTGGAAAGCAAATTGTGACGGTTTTAACCGTCGTAATCTACAAAAATACCTGTCGCAATCTGCCAATTTTCTTGTAGTGTTCAAAATGAGATTTGGATTTGTCATTCTTGATAAATTATGAGAAAGTTATGCTTGGTCAAAGTTGAGTTGACTTTTCCTACAAAACCCTAATTTATCAACTTTTAGGTTTTGATGAATTGTGAGCCATCCTTGAAGAATCATGATCAAACCTTGATCAAATGATGAATAATACTTCAAAATGATAAATTTTACCAAAAGTCTTAAAGTTTGACTGTATGTGGGCCACAATTGACTTTTGCCCTAGCACAGTCGATTTTCAGGCCTTTGAGCAATTGACTGAGCAAACTTCCTCTGCAATGCTTGAAACTTGACATGGATGATCTTGGGAACATTTTAGGACAATGGTGAGAATTTGAGACCCTTTGGACTCAAGTATCTTGGCTCAACATGAAACCCTAATTTGAGGTAGACTGCCTTAGGAGAGAGTTTGTCTGGTCAACCCTTGGACTTCCTTGAGCAATTTGAGGATCTCACTTGAAATGTTTTGAGAAATGGGAGGGGAAATTTTGGGGTACAACAGCTGCCCCTATTTAATCTTCTTAAACCTGAGGATATAGATTGGCTTGCTTTCCTTTCGTGATCTTAAGGTTGAAAATGATTGAACACTAGAGTGCCAAGAAATTTGCACTCGCATGAAGTGGTATTTGTCTTGTGATGTCGGGAATGGGCTTGTAGATGCCATTTGAAGATTGATGATAGAAGATGGGCTTAAAGATGCCATCCGAAGGAGTGCCGATCGCCTAAGAGATTCCTTAGCGAGAGCCCGTATACCTGTTGTTGAGGAAGATTTCACTGGGGAATGTTGTTCTTTGTCTTGAGAAAAGATGAGTTTTAGCATCTTCAGACATCTGTTATTCTATTGGGGAATCGTCTCTTGGTCGAAGAGGAGAAAATGAACTATTATCTGGTCGTGATCCAGGCTTCATAGTGATAAGATCGACTGCTATCCGGTCGTGCTTTAGGCTTTACAGTGACTTACTGGGGAGATGAGATTAAACTTGTTATCTGGTCGTCTTCCAGGCTTCGCAATTTCTCAATTCTTATCTGTCGTACTCCAGGCTTCAGACGGGATTAAGTTGTTATCCGGTCGCATCCGGGCTTCAACAAGAATTTAGGGCATACTAATATCCGGTCGATTCCGGGCTTCTTAGTAATTGTCCTGGTGAACTGCTATTTGGTCAAAATCCATGCTTCGTACTGTCTTATACTGTTATCTGGTCTATTCCAGGCTTCAGTCCTTTGTCACTATCTAGTCGTAATCCAGGCTTTGCAACTTCTTACTTCTTATCCGGTGGTGTTCTAGGCTTTAGAAGAAATCAAGTGGTTATCCGGTTGCATCCGGGCTTCCATATGGTTTTAAGGCTTACTAATATTCGGTCGATTCCGGGCTTCATAGTAACTGGCTGGGTAGACTGCTATTTGGTCGAAATCCAAGCTTCGTAGTGTCCCTTACTGTTATCTGCTCGTAGTCCCAGGCTTTAGTGTCTTTTACCGCTATCTGGTCATAATCCAGGCTTCACGATGTCTTATACCATTATCTGGTCGAATCCAGGCTTCATGGTATCCTGTACTGCTATCTGGTCGATTTCCAGGCTTCACAATACCTTATTAAGCTGTTTTATGATCGATTTCTGGGCTTCACCGCTTATGTTTATGATATACCACTATCTGGTTGGTTCTAGGCTTCATGGTGTTTTGTATTGTTATCTGGTTGTAATCCAGGCTTCACAGTAACTTGCATTGCTATTTGGTTGTTCTCCAGGCTTCACAATAACTTGCTGGGGATTAAACTATTATTCGGTCGAATCCGGGCTTCATAGCTTAAATTTAAGATAAACCACGATCTGGTCGATTCTAGGCTTTGTGGTATTTTGATACTGTTATCCGGTTGTTCTTCGGGCTTTACAATATGATGGAGAAATCAAGATATTATCCGGTCGAATCTGGGCTTCATAGCTTGAACTAGAATAGAAATCTTAGCACCGATTTGACTGAACCAAATAAAACTTGTGATAATTTGATTGTATATTTCCCTGAAAGGTAAAGAGTTAGTCGTATGTAATGTCATGATGTATGAAATGTATTGAGCAATGATGTTCTCATAATAAATGAGATTGTGTTGTATGATACGTATGTGCATGCCATGATGTGTGGATATGCAATGTTTTTATGATATTCTCTAGCTAGGGAAAATAAATCCCAGACTACTTCTGGAGAATACGAGGAGTTCAGTTCTTCGTTCTCACTGGAAGTAACGACCGAAGATGATTTGAGAATAAATTGGCGGGAGAATAACTCTGCTGGAGAATAAACTGGCGAGTGAATGACTCTATAGGGAAGAGAGATACTCTGCCAGAAGATCTGCTAATTTGGAGAAATAACCTTGGATGGGGATGAATTACTGTTGCTGGCGATAATGAACTCGGTTGGGGATTGAGTTTCTGCCTGTGGAAGAAATAAATTCCATTGGGGATAGTCTTCCATTGTTGGTGATAGATGAACTCTGCTTGGGGAGAATTAACACCACTGCTTTTGGGTATTTCTTACTCTACGGGGAGTGTATGCACTTTTAGTCATATTCTCCAGTTGGATCTATCCCCATACCTTGTGAATATAGCAACTGTAAGGTTTGGACATTTCTTGTTTGCCCCTGTTCCTGGAATTACGAGTAATCGTCTTTTGTTTCGCATGTAAATATTTATGAGCAACAATTTTGTTCAAATGCATATATCAAAAAATGAACCATTGGACGTTCTTGCAAAATAAAACAGAAAAAGAAAAACAATTTTGAAATTTATTGTAAAATGAATTGTATTGATTTTAGAATTGGCATGTACTAGGCGTTTTGTACAAGAGGCTGACGTCCTAGTAAGAGAACGCCGCTGAAAGATGGAAATTATACAATTTGCGAAAAACAAGGAAAAACAACTATGTGAACAATCCCACTGAGTTCCAACTCTGCTATTGCCTTTATATCTCCGAGCGTCTCAATACTTTGCTACTTGGTTGAAGGTAGATCAGATTGATCGGCGCCGTCCGAGCTTGATTGTCGATACCGATGTCAGGTTGCAAGATGATCCAATGAGACATAGTGTTACGCTTCGATTCCTAATTTTTTCTTGGACCGCCCTTTCAGGTTTTTGGTCCACCGGGATACCCTTTTTTCCCAAGCTTCCTTTTCAGGTTTTCGACTTGCCGGGTGTACCATTTTTTTAATTTATTTTCATCCCTTATTTTTCCCGAACCCTTTTGGTTCACCGGGAAGCCCTTATTTTTGCCTAGGCCAGTCAACCTAGCGGGTCTTTGATTATGCATAGTACTTTTTCACTATGTCTGCATTGACGGGGTGAGGAAGGTCGTCACTCTCCATGGTTGTTAGAATCATAGCTCCTCTTGAGAAAATGTTCTTAACCACAAATGGCCCTTCGTATGTAGGGGTCCATTTTCCCCTGGGATCGCCTTGCGGCAGTATAATGTGCTTCATCACTAGATCCCTGACTTGATACTCTTGTCGTCTGACTCTCTTGTTAAAAGCCTTGATCATTCGCTTTTGATACGTCTGACCATGACAAATAGCAGTCAGTCTTTTCTCGTCGATTAAATTCAGATGATCAAGCCAGGTCTGGATCCAATCGTCTTTGCTCAAACCTGCATCCTTCATAATCCGGAGGGAAGGTATCTAGACCTCAATGGGTAATACTTCCTCCATGCCATACACTAAGGAGTAGGGTGTTGCCCCTGTTGACGTCCGTGCTGAGGTACGGTACCCATGAGGAGCGAATGGTAGCATCTCGTGCCAGTCTTTGTATGTCATTTTCATCTTCTGCACAATTTTCTTGATGTTCTTATTAGCCGCTTCAACAGCCCCATTCATCTTCGGCCGATAAGGAGAAGAGTTGTGATGTTGTATCTTAAACTATTTGCAGAGCTCGGTGATCATCATATTGTAGAGATTTGTACCATTGTCCGTAATGATCCACTCTGGTACACCATATCGACAAATCAAGTTGTGTCGGATGAACCGCGCCACGACATTCTTGGTTACTGTAGCAAAGGAAGATGCCTTCACCCACTTTGTAAAGTAGTCAATTGCTCCCAGAATGAAACGATGCCCGTTAGACGCAGTAGGTCTGATCTCGCCGATCATATCGATGCCCCACATTGCAAAAGGCCAAGGAGCTATCAAGATGTTCATAGGAACTAGAGGTACATGCACCTTATCAGAATAGACTTGGCACTTATGACATGTCCGAGAATGCTGATAACAATCGGCTTCCATAGTAGACCAATAATATCCCGCCCGTAGGATTTTCTTTGCCATGGTATGTCCACTGGAATGAGTTCTGAAGGTACCTTCATGTAACTCTTCCATAATCCTTT